ATCCACTCTGTCGCCTGCTGGCAAAACAATCTCATAACGTTATTCCAAACACGTTTAGTAGTAGTGGCCCCATTACATAATACTAGACTGTATATATATGTATATATATATATATATATATATATATATATATATATATATATATATATATGAACCCTTTGTAACAAATTATATCCAAGTCATTTTACGATATCGTGACAAATGTTACTTTGAAAACTGTGCTTGGGAACAATTGAAGTCTGCGTCATATCTTCTATTTTCAATTGGCATTTCGTTAAAGTCGGAAAGACGACCCAGTTACGTCACGTTGATAGGGGCAAGAGGCCGTATTAGTGAATAAATTAATTATACCTATAATAACATAATATGTTGATAAAAAAGGCAGAAACATCAAATGCCAAATAACAACAAGAACCATTTACATCACCGCATCAAACATAAGTGTTTTGTACGTCTTTTAAAATGGCTGTGGTAAACGATACTCTCGCATTCTTTGATTTCCTAATCCCACTTCGTCTGAATACAATCATCCGAGACATTCTGTCACATAGAGCATATCGGGTATCGCCTGCGGGTATTTTGCTAGCGGTAAACATGTGTTGCCAGTTGTTCTAGTAAAATCGGTAAACTTGAAAAGAAATGTCACATGGAAAACCCATTGATGCATTGGTGTTGACAAATGTTCACACATTTACGAATCTGGAACTCTTGGAAAATAGTTCAACAAAAACACGTTTTTATTTTGCGTTGCTAAGCAGCACGCCAATAATCTAAACGTTATTTGTGTTGTACATTTGTCACTTTTACTCGGCTGTGTACAGTTACGCTCTGTTGTTAGCGGTCCACGGATCCTGGGCTGTAAATGTTCAAATTCATTGCGTTGTTTTATGACATATTTTATTTCGTGATAACAAGAATGTGCGAATGTTAACAGGGAGCTTAATGAATCGGCTGAGCACTGTGATTTAATTGTAATGGGCCATATTGGGTATGTGAGGCTGCTATCGCGCTCATGAATAGCGGCTTTGATAACTAGCATATGTTGCTATGGAAAAAATGAACACATGTTTCAGCTGTCGTGCAACAAATACCGATTCTAGTCCACACGTAGAACTCATTCATGCGCAATTTGTCTGCAGGCAACGTTGCGTAAAACATCCATCGAATTTTTTTCCCGACTAAATTACTTGTCTGCTAAATAGTTCTTCTAACACATTGTCTGTTTTCTTCTATCACCAGCTGCTAAAAAGCGTGTGTAAATGCCAGTTGACAGCGGAGCTGATCCGAAGAGGAGTGCAAATTTACTTTTCATTTCATCGGTATAATGACATTAGTCCTCTGATGAAGACTGGCGTTTGTCGGTATTGTTATTGTCACTTGCTATCTGATTGATATGAGTTTAATACTGCTCTCACACGAGTGATACTATCAGGGAACTGGACCAAACCTAGAATGAAACTACCGCACGGTTACACCTGATCATCTACCGCTAAAAAGACATGTGGGAGATCCCCGGTGGAAAAATCTCTCTTACTCGACTACAGAGATAAAGGACCACCTCCCATGAGATATAACTGACTGTGGAAATGATTGGATTTGAGACCGGAGTTCGCACTATCAAGTCTGTTCACTGGATGTGACGCTGTTGCGGAGAGGAATGCATAAACAAGTATACCCGCACTTGCGCTGGTGTAAACGAAGTATTACTTCGCTCGTGTATGTACTTGCGTGTCAGTATCTATACATCACGTTTGTAAATGGTAACGAATCAGGCAGCGGATATGGCCCAAGCAATGCCTATGAAGACGGTGATCTTATTATTGGTGGATTATTTCCTGTTCACGAAAAAGGCGAAAATGATATACCATGTGGACCGATAAACGCCAATAGAGGCATACAGCGTCTGGAGGCTATGCTGTTTGCGATCGACAGAATAAATGACGACCCCACGCTACTGCCTGGAATTAAAATAGGCGCAAATATCTTAGACACGTGTTCTAGAGACACATATGCTTTGGAACAATCACTCGAATTTATACGATCTTCACTGACAAACATTGAGTTGCAGACGCAGTTAACTTGCATTAATGGAACAGAAAGTTTTACAGACCTTCCAAAACCTGTGGCCGGAGTGATCGGGGGAGCATATAGCAGTGTTTCAATACAAGTTGCCAATTTATTGAGACTATTTCATATACCACAAGTAAGCTACGCGTCTACTAGCGCAAAACTAACTGATAAAACTCGATATGAATTCTTTGCCAGAACAGTTCCACCAGATAATTTTCAAGCAAAGGCTATAGCTGAGGTTGTTTTACGGTTCAACTGGACCTACGTGTCCACTGTTGCTTCAGAGGGTCAGTATGGCGAGATGGGCATCAGCCAATTTCTTCGCGAAGCCAGGAATAGAGATATTTGTATAGCAACATCAAATGTCATTCCAACATCGTCAGATAGCTCTACATACGATGATGTTATACATGCTATTAAACGGATTCCAAACGCACGTGCTGTAATTCTGTTCACCAGGAGCGACGACACCACAGGTGTGCTCACAGCTGCTAAAAGGGCAAATTTATCTGAAAATTTCATATGGATTGCAAGTGACGGTTGGGGCAAGCAAGAGCTGCCTGTGATAAACAATGAAGAAGTTGCCGAAGGTGCTATAACTCTTGAACTTCAGGCACTGAGGGTCGATTCGTTCGATGAGTACTTTCTGAAACTCAATCCGTGGGGTAATTCCAGGAATCCATGGTTTGTGGAGTATTGGGAGCAAATTTTCAAATGTAGCATTGGTATTGACTCTGGATTTAGCAATAATACTAACCCACCTTGCCCAGACGACAAAGACTTAACTTCCACAGATTATTACCAGGACTCTAAAGTTCAGTTTGTCATCGATGCCGTCTATGCTGTGGCACATGCACTGCATAATATGCATGAACGCTTGTGTCCACACACAAATAAAATATGTGCTGCAATGGATCCAATTAAAGGAGAGGAGCTGTACAGAGAAATCCTTAACGTCAGTTTTAAAGGTAGGTTTTCAGTAAATTATTCAAGCATACACATGTTTATCGCACTTTTAGGGAATTCGTTCATTTAGTTAGAAATGGTATATAATATGAATTTAGATTTAGGCCGTCCGAGAGCACATATTCTGTGAGTAAACAGGAGCTTGGTGTACGCTATGATAACGTTTTAGCTTTGGTTAGTGTGGATTGACGTGCAGACATTTTGCCATATTGTCTTAATATCGCAGGTAGAAATGCTACTATTCTGTTAACACCCTTATTATTGAGAATCATAACTGCAATGATGCATGTTCGTGTCATATATGAACAGTTCCGCCCTTATATTGTACATATTCAGTTATCCCTCTCACACTTCACAAAGCTTTGCCCGTTGTTTAAATAGGTAACGTCTATATTTGTCATGTTCAAAGAATCTAATGAATATGCCGCATTACTTTAATATCAAAACTAAATCGTGCGGTTGAATATTTGTGATGAAAAAATGAAAATAGTTTCCCCTAATCATCTGTATATTCAAAGCCCCTAGCTATTTAATCAGTAGAGTCAAAATGGATAAACTTCTTTACTGGCTTATTAATACTATTGATTCTTGCATAGGGGACAATTTATTGGAAATGGCTGTTGAACCAATTTCAGTGTAATAATTTCTTCAGCACATTAGTATAATTGCCCGGCAAAAATATGCTTTTGTAATCATTTGAGATGACACAGATGAGTTGAAGCTAGATTTAGGTCCCTGTATGTACAGTCATTATAATCCACATAATGTATGTCAATAGTGTAATCGGCGACTTTTGAAATAGAGAACTGGGAGTGCACGACAACATAGAATTGCTGACTGATATAGAAAAATAATTGACATTGTGCAACTCTATCAACTTCAGTTTATTCATTTTGGACAAATCTAGAAAAAAAGCAAAATTATTACGTGACGATTTTTGAAATATATGAAGACACTAATGCTTCAATCTATTGACAAAGTAGAATGATACTTTACCAATTGAATTCATTATTAGTCAAAATTTAAACATGCCTGTTTAGTCCCTGTTCTTTTTATAAACAACCTTTACAATATCTTTACAATACTTTCCTTATATAAATACAAAAGATTTAGAGCCTTAGAGCCATTAATCAACTTACATTGTCCAACAAGTTCTGTTGCATCTTATGGGGAATTTGTTGAACCAGTTCCAACGGCATAATCTGGTTAGGGAACACACAACAATAAAAAATAAGCGAAAAAAAGAAAACAAACATAATACAACAACTGATCTTATTAGTGGGGTAAATATATGGAACAACATTGCGCACAGTCGTGGATGTCAGTTATAAAGTTTTAGCTCTACGCGTATCTTTCTTATATTCCCATAGTTAAAATTAAACATAATCTTGTAATGTTGCTTACAACAGATATGGTAAAATCACAGGTGAGCTTCGATGAACAAGGTGATGGACTTGGACGCTATGATATAATGAACTTTCAGAAGGACCAACACACTGGATTATATGCTTACAAAAAGGTGGGTCACTGGGCCAACGTCCTCTACTTGGACCCATCTCTCGTTAGATTCAATCCGCGACTACCAAAGCATGGAGAAGGAATATTCCCATATTCTCAGTGTAGCCTACCGTGTATGCGAGGAGAAGTGAAACACGTACGCGAAGGTGAGAGTTGTTGCTGGATCTGCACTAAGTGCCAACCCTGGGAGTACCTGAAAGATGAATTCACTTGTGTGGACTGTGGAAATGGAAGCTTCCCCACTAATGACCTAAAGGGCTGTTATAAACTGCCAAAACAGCACATGGAGTGGCACGAGGTCTGGTCTATAATTCCAACCGCCATTGCTATTTTTGGATTCATTTGGACTTGGATTGTGATAGGTATATTTCTGGTGCACAATGACACTCCTGTTGTGAAAGCATCTGGTCGAGAACTCAGCTACCTTCTATTGACTGGAATACTTATGTGCTATCTGTTAACATTTCCGTTACTCTGTAAACCCTCTGCCATTGTGTGCGGGGTTCAGAGGTTTGGACTCGGTCTCTCGTTCTGTATCTGTTATGCAGCTTTACTCACCAAAACTAATCGTATTTCTCGGATTTTCAACAGCGCTCAACGTTCAGCACAGAGGCCAAAGTATATCAGTCCACAATCTCAGTTAGTGATTTGTTTCTGTATTATTGCGGTGCAGCTTATCGGCGAGGTCATCTGGTTTGTACTCGATCCGCCCGGTATACGGCTTTTTTCCCCAGACGGTAGAAGAGATATTGTTATTTTAAAGTGTAATATTATGGAGACGGCTCTGATCATTTCGCTGGTGTATGACATGTTCCTTATAATGTTGTGTACTGTGTACGCGTTCAAAACTCGTAAGATTCCAGAAAATTTCAACGAAGCCAAGTTTATTGGCTTCACCATGTATACAACCTGTATTGTCTGGTTATCGTTCGTTCCAATATACTTTGGCACTGGAAGTGATTTCAGGGTGAGTATCCTTGAAATTAGACTCAGTCAATATTTTTATAAACAGACAATAACGATTGATGAATAGTTATAGCAATGTAAATCGTTCTAGAAAATTCTTTTTTTTAGTGAAATTCAATTGTAGAATTATTATTTCTAGAATGACATACTCGATTAGTTCCACATTTCTGTATGGATCTGGATAGACTGTTTTATCACATTGATTGACGTTCAACATAAAAAAAGCCCAGCAAAGCCCCAGATCACTTTTAATCGTAAGTAAACACGCAATGGCGACATATTATTCTTGTCTTGATTTTTTTTACAGATCCAAACGACAACATTAAGTATTGCTGTTAGTCTGAGTGCGTCAGTTGCTCTTGGATGTCTCTTTGTACCCAAAGTCTACATCATAATCTTCCAGCCAGAGAAGAACGTTAGGAAATTAAGCTGCACATCAGCAACATTCCGCAAACCTGGATCGACATATTCACAGAATCATGGTTAGTCAATTAAACTGTCTACTTAGGATAATGCCCACATATATTAGACAAATAATGAAATAACTTCACGGAACGTAGGTTTTAATGGGCTAAGAAATGAAATGCGGCGTACAGTCTCAATCACGGCGATCTTATTATTATTAAGACTCGATATATAGATATACGCAACAGCAATGTTGTATTACAGTGTAAATATATACAATTCATTTTAATATGGCTTGCCGCTTGTTGAAAGATCTGTCACAGTGGTGGCCATGCCTCTCTTCACTATTCGGGCAAACACAAATTATAACAATATTTTCAAAACGTTTGCGAATTTCAACACAAACACGCAATATTCTAATATTCACAAATTATTCTGCGCTAAAATATTATTGGTTACCCACACTTCAGATCATGGTTAGTTTTTAATTGGCCCTTCTATGAAGTAATTACACAATATATAAAGCTCCTGTAATTGTTAATAGTCATAGAACTGTATGTTTGTATGTTTCCATATTATCTGTTGGGAAATGATTTGGTATGTGGACACTCTGTGTCTCACATGTTACATGTGAATCCAGGGCTTTGGAATTACCTCTACTCTGAAGAACTTCAATCTATTGTTGTTCATCTGAGACGTCATTCAATAATGCACAAACGAAAATCAACACTTCACAAATTATGTTTCGTACTGCTTCATGTAATTTGGAAAATCTAAACCCTCGGGAAATTAAAATATCCAAGATGGATGCGAATATGACTACTGCAATCTGAGTATTATCTTGACTTCCGCCTATGACAGAACGACGCTCTTAGTGTTAGATGATGACAACATGTCTTCCAGTACGTACGATTATCTTTCCTACTCACAATCACCGATTCAATAGTTCAAATGCATGGAAGCAACCAGTGGGCAAAGCACCGTGATAGGTAAAGGTGCACGGAACTATGGGAAAATGAATATCAAATTCTATCACAATGCCCTTCTACGGCAAGGTTTTAGGGAAGTAGCATTAGTTAACATGTGACTGAAAACGACACGCTTGTCAGACATTGAAATGCACTTGATGACAAAATATTTTAATTAGCAGAAGCCATTCCTTGCCTCACAAGTGGTATGTCAGCAATTGACGAAACATTGACTGGTCACAACAACGAAAGCAATGTTGACTAGAAAATGTGAAATATGAAATCGAAATATATGTCCTTAACTAGAACATAATTTGGTTGAAACTTCAAACTTACACATTTACAAAAATTTATATGAAAATTAATTAGCTGCTGTCTTGGATAAAATCTTGACAAGTCTGACAACACCTTAAATGGATTTCCTAGCCCATATTTGAATGTCAATATATGGTTTACACATATTGCAGCTGCCATCTTGTGCCGATGCTTGTGCACTACACTGTACAGACAAAAATGAAAAACACTATCATGCATGTGCAGTGATTGATACAGCTTTTAAGATCGATATTATCACGCGCATGGCAACAACGAATACATGGAATAGTGTTGTCCGTAAACTTGTGATAATGCACGTACACGAGTATGCTCCATATCAGAAGCCATTGTAAGAAGATTTTTATTAGAAAAAAATAGATATGAAGTATGACTTCTGTGATGGATCCAGCTGCCAACTATGAATGTGGCCAAACCATGTCTGGGATTGACTTTCATATCAGGCCTGTATACCACACACAAATGTGTACAATTTACGAGTGCCCCAAGCAGAATATGCCAAGCCTCGTTATCGATTCCGATGAATGTGTGTGTCGTTTTGCATTGCTGCTATATAACGTTAATCAACATTCTCAATATGTCGTTCTTTATTGCAGGTCACGTGTTTCTTCATCTTCACAGCTCGTTAGCGCAATGTGATAGTCAAAACACAGACAGTCAAACCTCGCTTACGTAATTATTGAAGAAAGCAGGATAACGTGGGTAAATTGAGGAAAGATTTCAAGAGTACTGCTTACTTGTTTGAAAGAGCGCCACCTTCGGAGGAAATCTAGAAATATGAAACTCAAATAACGGCGGTTGGCAAGAGTGCCCGTGATGTGAACTCAGCCCGGAACTATGTACGCCTGAAAACGTGCCGTAATTGATTTCTATATTGTAGAAATGTTTATTGGAACTGATATGTTTTCTCTGTGGACTCTGAATTTAATACTCCTAGGCTGAAATAAGGGATATTCAATTATTACCTCCAGGGTGTGCCCCAAGCTTTGATACACAAAAAATATTAACAGAATTGTTTTAAATTTGTTATCGCTTTTATCATTGAATATTGCATGAAGTATGGTGCAACTGCGTGTACATTGCGTGTACATGTATAAGTAAAATACCTGATTTCATACAATAATCGCAACGATATATTGTTGCGGATTTGTTATTAGTAAGGCATAAATTACATGTTGTGTTCTTAAGTAATGTTCCTTTCACTGCAAGATCTCGCGTAATTCGTGAAAGCGCGGGTCGAATGTCTGCCTCAAAATTCAAATTATATTTGAACATGAACTTTTTTTTTACAGTTCAATGTTTAAAAATCCGATCTTTCAGAGGGGAATATGACGCTGGGATATCTTTACTTCATTAAAATTGACCAGTATCACATGTGTAAAGCTCATTATCAAGCGTGAAAATACCCTGAAAATACTTTCGCGTTTGTCACGGCATGTTTTGACACCACTACGACGCTATGAACTTTGTGTGTGCTGTTTTTCACGCATAACGCGGGATCTTGTGTGCGTAATAAACGGTCTATTGAAAATATATTGCAATATACTGGATTACGTACCAAGCAGTGTGGCTCGGCTCAGCGGAATCATAATTTACATAAATTAAGCAGCATTTGATCAGATGATAACAACGTCATTTACCTAGCTTTATGTTATAAAAAGAATATATTAGATACGAGCGCAAAGTAATAAGTAATATCTAGACAAGTCTGTGTCCAAGGTGCAATGGTGTATGTTATTATTTATTTGAACTAGATGCCTTCCATGAATGTATACAACGATGAGTCGAGTACTCAAGCAAACAGTTTCCTTCACTATTGTTTAGTACAATCAGGACCAAACTTAACTGAAATATTATATAACAAACATGAATGTGACGTAAGATTGTAGTCACATGGTATATGCTGTACATTGCCTGAGTAACACTATGGGATGTAATTATATAACTACAGTACACCATGATGTCTTTCATACAGGGCGCGTAGTGAATCTAACCTCATCATATATTCTAGACACACCAATTAATCCATTTATTATTATTATGGAGATAATATAATATAATAATCGATTTCTACATTTCAAAATGGGGTTTCAACACATTCCCTTCCATGTTTTCTTTTGTCAATTGTTTCTCATAAGGTGCCATGTAATATTAATATATATACAACTCACCAAATCAAGTTGATGAGCACTTTTTTTATATTTTGATAACGTCTTTCGGTGAATTCAAAGTTTGACATGTTCGCAATGAGAAATCTCTTGCAACCACTGCCACATCAATTGTAATACCTTGCCTAGTCTTGCTGGGATACTTTGAAGGCGTGGTGAAAGACAACATTCATACGTTTATATTAAAATAATTCTCGTTTCCAGACAAAAAAAACATACAAATTGTTATGCACATACACAATCAGTACATACACGTGTACACCGTTTGACAACGCCACCCACAGATAAAAAGGCGAGAGTACGAACTCATCGTTGATACAACCGAATGACGGATATAATAATCGAAATGTAGAACTCAGTACTTCAAAGGCTTCCCTAATTCTTACAAATAACTTGAATCGCGACGAGTCAAGTTCATTCATTGTATATATTGAATATTTACCGGGCAACATTGTGCATTCGGTGTTCGGTGTTAATGCTATTATGGTGATGACACTGTCTATGTGCGCATAGGTTCAATGTCTCGTTTCATACTCAATACTAAACGGACCAAATGACATTCTCTGCATCCATTGAAGATGTTCATGTATGCAAGTGTAATGGATAATCCTACCTTGGATATGAAACATTGTAAATAACGACAAATATTATACGTGTAATGGAGAAATGCAATTGCTGCTCTAAAAGTTATCAATAAATAAAAATGTGGAGCTGTCTGTTGTTTGTATACATTTTGCTGTGTCTTTATTTGACGACTGAGGGCGCACTCATATGAGTGAGAGATACTTCAGATGCTACAACGTAAATGTAACACTTCAGTACTGAATGGAATTCGTTCGTCCTACAATAGGTTGTATTTCTATGTGAAATCTCTTTGTCAATATGTTTTTAGTTCTCACGTATCAGCATTTGTTTGCCCATCACATCTCTTATTGTTAAATTCATATATGCAATATATCAATGTCACATATTGCGGACAGTCGGTTGAAAGATGGCGTTTCGGGACATGAACACACACATTGTACAATTGTGATCAGAAAGGAAATGAACCAAAGAAAATGAATACCGAAGTTACTGAAATGTACATGCCTCACCTTTTTGAAATGACGCAGTACTCGATTTTATAAATGTGTTCTTTGTAACAACAAATAATATTCAAATACGCACATAAGTTATCGAAAATATATTCAAATTGAGTTGACCGAAACCAATTTGCCGAGCAGGAAAATAACAAAAGACCGCCCCCTTTTGGCCGATCTGCAAAACGCCACCATTTTGAGCCAAGCTCAAACAATTCATATACACGGCTTGGAATGATAAATGTGTTTCTGATGATAGCGCCACCAGCGACAATTTGCTCAAATATTACACAGCAAGGAGAGAGAAGTTTCAAAAATACAAAACAAATTAAAGGGCGGTGGTCATCGCGTCCACAGAAAAAAAAAAGAGACTCACATCGAACGGGAGATGTGGAATTTGAATGTATTCAAAGTAAACATTATTACCTATTGTCTTCGTACTCATCAAACTAATTAAAATCAGATGTATTGTACGGCGTGTATTTTATTTTAAATATTCATTTAACTTTTACTATTTTTTTTAATTATTTTGTTTGTTTTCTGTGTTTTTTGTTACGTATTTGTGATTCGGTATTATTTAACTATCGCCACATACATCTGAACCAATGCCTATGTAATGAGATTTCAACGAGACCTCCTCTGACTGGTTTAGTCAACAAATCACATACCTCCTTCTATAGCGCACCTGATGACGTCACCGGTCAGAGTCAGGTCATAGACACATCAAAAGAAAATGGCCGATTATCTACCGATGTTAGCGATGGAAACGATCGGGAAAACACGGCTTGTCGGTAAATTTATTATGTCAAATACATCTATGATTTTTATGATTATAGTGTGGCCTAAATGGCTCAAGTTTATGTCGTTATTTGCGTGGTTATTCCGGGAGTAACGATGTTTTTCTAACTGTTCGACCGAACACCGGTAAGTATTTGCGGTCGCTTGTCCTGGAGGCGGGTGATGTTTTGTTGACGATCGGGCGAAAATCGTCCACGCTATTGAAGACTTAGTTGTAAATATACATCGAAATGTACCAACATCGGGCCAAAATCGTCCACGCTATTGAAGACTTAGTTGTAAATATACATCGAAATGTACCAACATAATGTATAATAACTCTCTATTAATTTAAAGTAATTGAGCTGAAATAAAATATTTCTTCTTATTTGGAATGCAATTGACCCGAAAATATGTTTTGCTGCAATATTCAGCGTGGACTCCGTTTGTCGGTGACCGTTATACAATTTATAATCAGTTTGGGATTTTAATGTTGCATTGTTTACAATAGCTGTTTACTGTGTTCTAATCATGATGACTTACTTATTTTTTTGTTTCCATTCTAGTTAATTATGCTCATTGCTTGGTGTAAAGTTGAGGCGATGACTGAATAAAAGAACCTTGGCTGGCGACGATACAGCAGGAAGTGTACACATTTGTTAGAAATGAAAAAAAAAATATAATGACACAAATTGTAAAATACTGTTGATTCCTTTTTGCAAATAACAAATACACTAGTAATTTTCTAATAATTTATTGAGTTGTGCATGGGTTGGTGGGCAAAATATAGTGTACAGGAAGATTGCCCGTGGAGTAAAGTTTTGCCAAACTGCGAAAAGTTTGCGCTTCTGACACTTTACCAATTTGAGGTGCAAGTAATAATCCTGCAGTCAATCTAAACGTTACTGCAAATAAAGTACGCAATGGTTGCATTCAAATAAATTCTTTATGCCGACGAAATTTAAAATTTGTAGTTGTATGTGTGTGTTCCATTGACAAACACTGCGTCAATCGCAGCAGCTTCCATCCCATTTCCCCAAAATATTTCCTGCTGGACAGGGCTACGGCAATCAACCACATTTAGATAGCCGGAGCAGTGATGATCTAGATGGTACATTTCTTGCCATGTTTTATGTAACTTACAAGAAAATATGGTCAAGAACACGTCAGTAAAATAAAAAATTAAATAAATTGTCCGTCGCAGTAGACAACAGAACACGATTGTTTGGTCTTTTAAGGCTATTGACCCGAGTATTTATCCACCTTTTCCGGCCAACCTTGATTGAGATGATTGTTTTAACAATGAAACCCACGCCACGCAAGAGATCTTTTTTTTCTTGTACTTGATTGTAATTGTTTGTTAATTATTTTCTCCAATGAATACGCCGTCGGCCAGTATAAAAACGGCTAGATGTGATTGACTATAGCTTATACGGGTTTTGAACGGAATTTATATGGGCATTGGGTCATTTACTTGTGAGCTTTCGAGATTACTAAAATAAAATAAATAATAAAACACTTTTTTTTATTTTAATCAGATTGCGTTCTCAGCACCCGCATAAGCGTACGGTGATAATTACGTTAATAATATCAATATTTTATCAATAAGATTTACCAAATCGTAGAAAATTTTTAAATTTGAAATTGACTTC